AGCCACGCATGGGACAAATCCTGCCTTGAGGAGAGCAGGGTGGATGATATACAAGCTCAGCAGGGCATGGCTACTGCCCTCAGACCCACATCTGCCTGAGCTGCCCCATCTCTGTTGGGAATTTCGAGTCCATATCCCCCCTCTGTGATGGACTCAAGCTAGAGCAGTAAGTTATAACAGGGTGGGAAATGTTTCATTTGCACATATGCCTGCAAAGGGGTCACTATCTGAACACAAAGAGTTGTTATTTTTCACAGCATCAGATTTATGGTAAAAAGCCATATATAGTGGTTTTTATATTATGCTTTTCCCACCCTGGCAGAGAATGACATGAATTTAGAAACACAGTAGAAGTGAAAAACAAAGGAGAGGAGAGGAGAGGAGAGGAGAGGAGAGGAGAGGAGAGGAGAGGAGAGGAGAGGAGAGGAAAGAGAAAAGAGAAGAGAAGAGAAGAGAAGAGAAAAGAGAAGAGAAGAGAAGAGAAGAGAAGAGAAGAGAAGAGAAGAGAAGAGAAAGCAGCAGAGAAAGACAGAAAAGGTGAATACAGAGCTACAGAAGGCTTAATGGATCAAATTCAGCCAGTGGGCAAACTGACCCTGCTGCATCCAAGGTGGGGGAAGGCACAGCCCCTCCTGGCAGGTCTCATCCTGAAACAGGGATGAAAGCATCATCCTTACCCACCTTGGAAAATCAGCAGGAGCTGCCAGGGCAGTGTGTGGAAGAGGATGGATGGGTACCATCATCCCTGCTACTGGAATCAGATCAATTCACTGCATTATTATGTTCCTCCTGGCTTTAAAGAACTCCCTGCAGGCAGCTCACCTGTCTGTATGAACACCCTGACCTGTCCCAATGGATTGGGCTGCTCCCAGTCTGACCTTGTGCACTGCCTCTTCCCCGGGGTCTGGGACCCCCCCATCTCCTGGTGCTCATCATCACACCCTCATGCTCTGCCAGCAGGGAGAGGAAATGTGAGAAAAATCAATGGCTGCAGCTCAGGCTGCCGGGGGATTTGTGCATTTTTGCACTGGGAAATCGGATAGATCGACCCCGTTCCTCAAGACCGCCGTCGATGGAGCTGATGGTGGGAGGGCTCGGGGCTGGGGGTGTCCAGCCCAGGGCTGCTGCTCTATTGATCCTGGAAGTCAGGGCAGCCTCTCTCGGTGTGATTTACTCAATTCCCTTGTTGTTCCACATCAAGCTTGCTCCCAACCTGCTTTTAATTCTGTGTTTATTTGTTCCCTGTCTTCCTTGCCAGGCAGTGGCAGTGAAGCCTCTGGGTCGTCCCTCTGGAGTGGGAATCAGCACATGGGTAGGGCAGGACAGGGTAGTGAAGGATGCAAACAGCAGCCTTTGCCCCTCCTGATGCCTCCCCACCAAGGCTGGGATGTGCTGCTGCTCCCAAACCCCTGGGATTTGGCATAATTTCTCCTGTTTTTAGTGGAGAGTTGACTTTATCTTCTCAGATCCCACTGATACTAAACAACAAGGGAATTTTGTAAATCACACCAGTCCCCCTGATCCCACAGTCCAGGCTCAGCAAATCCTGCTCTGCTCATGGGGCCAGGGAAGGTCGTGCTCCTAAAGCATTTCCTCCCATGCCAAACTGATCCCCTGAATATCCAGGCTTTCTTAAAATTCTTTTGCCTGAGGAGAAGGTGGGAGGAGGTCCATGAGTTTCCTGCATTGTCTCCTGTGATGGAAAACCCTCCTCTTTGTGATTTTATCAATGCCAGTAAAGCAAATTTTCCCTCGGCAAGACTCTCTTTTCTAAAGCCTTTTCTGAAGACTCCTTTTCCCCAGTGATGCAGAAGCTTTAAAAGTATAATTATATATTTAAAAAAAAATCCCACCATGCTATTTATAAATTATTCTATATGCTCCCAACAAAGCAAGTGCCAGACTGCACTGGCGGAAAGCCCACTCTGGCTTCTCCTTGCTTGCTTTCAAAATGCAAATAACACTGCTTCTATGATTTTTTTTCCCTAACTACAACAGCACGGGGGAAATCACAATGCAAACTCTTTCCTGGAAAAAAAAGGAGAGAAAGAGATGAGGAAAACATGGCAGCCTTGTGCAAGGGCAGTATGGGGAGTAGATACAGACCTAAGGTACAGAGACTGGGATCCAAATTTGAGCTGTGGGGACAGAGATCCAGACCCAATAATAGAATTTTTTGGGACCAGCATCCCTTCTCAGTGCTGCCTGGATTCCCCCTGCCTGCCCTCCACCCAGCTGTAGGCAGAAGGCAGTAGAGGGAATGAATAGTGGAGGCCTTTTCTCTTTAATTTAAGGCTTCTTCTTGCCCTCTCTCCCTTCCTGCACTCCTCCCCCAAGCCTGGATATGCTGAGCTGAGAGTTTTGAAACCTTTAGAGGAGTTGGAAAGCGCCAGGTCCCAGCAGAGCAGTGAAACACGAGGATGCTCAGTGTGGTCCCAAGGGGTGTCTGATAACGGGAGGCAGGGATTTGCCAATCAGATATTTGAATGGAGCTGTTTCTACGGGGCAATGGTGAGCAAAGAACCCAGCCTCTTCTCTGCCTCCCCTCTTACCATCTGTCTTCGTTTAATGACAAAAAAAAATAGCATTTATTGATATAAAATAAATAAAGAGAAGTGGGTGGAGGGCGGGGGGGGAGATCACTGGCTATTTTCCATTACAAAATTTGCCAGCTGTCGTATCACAAGACATTAACTTATTATACACCCCAGCACGTATTCCGGGCAATGCCTCCCGCAAATAACAAAGAGAATATTTATCTCTTAATCCCCTTTTCTGCCCCCCTGCTGCAAGTTATCTCCGGGAGCCCGCCAGCATCCAAAGGCTCGGGGCTGGAGCACCGCAGCTCCTCTGGGCTGGAGCAGCTCAGCCACGGGGCGATGTTATCGGGCACGGCGATAACAATGCCAAGGTGAGGCACTGAAAAGCCGATAACAATGCCAAGGTGAGGCACTGAAAAGCCGGTGACCCGCGAGATGTAAAGTCAAGCTGCGGCACGGCGCCGGGGCCAGCGCAGGGCAGGCTTGCTGTGAGGCGTCGCAGCAAGGGCACCAAAGCTCTCTGCTCGTTAAAGGCTTGGCTGCAAACGTAATTAAGAGATGCTATCGGCGAGCGGCAGGCGAATCTCAGCCCTCGCAAATCACGGATTCCCGGGGATCCTGCGACAGGAGCCCCGTAAATCTCCGCAGCGAACGAGCTCGGCCGGCGGCAGGGGAGGGATGGAGGGATGCTCCGGCTGCCAGGGAGGGACCTTGTGGTCATGGGGAAAAAGCTAAAAAACTGTCACACCAAAGGTTGGGAGGCTTCAAGGAAACCAAAATTGATCCACTGAGGAGGGGCAGGGTGAGGGTCACTGAGAATCCTTGGGATAACCAAGGGTTGCAGCCCCGTTGGGAGCGGCTCCAGTTTGGTCCCTCGGGCCATGATCCAGTGGGTTCCAAATCTCCAGCTCCAGGGGTGTCTGTATGGGGCAGACACGGCCCTGTGCAGGTGGGTTTGCTCCAAGAGCTGCCCTGGAGTCCCTGCTGCCCCTGTCCCAGCCCGGCATTGATGGGCAGCACAAGGGCAAAGGAGGTGGAGATCATGCGGCTTTTGGAAAATTTTCCTGTTCCCCTCCTGCCCCTTTCTTTCCCCCTCTTATCTTTTTTCCCCTTTTCTCCTGGTCTTTTGTGGCCTGTCAGCCCAGCTTCCCTCCTCCCTCAATCCCTACTCTTACTCTTTCTGGCACTTTCTCCTACTCTTTCCCCAATTTTCACCCCTGTTCTCCGTATTTCGTCTCCTTGATCCCTCCCCATCCTGCCACTTTCCCCCCATGCGCACCACTCTCCCTGCTACACTTCTCCCCTTCCCATTTCACCTCATCTCCGCCTCATTCCCTTTCCATCACATCGCTTTATGATGTACCAATCTCATCCCATCCTACTCCTTTCCCAATCCCATTCCCATCCCATCAAATCCCATCCCATTCCCATCTCCATCCCATTCCTGTCTCACTGCCATTCCCATTCCCATTCCCATCCCCATTCCCATCCCATCTTATCCCCATTCCCATTCCCATCTCATCCCCATCCCCATTCCCAACCCATTCCCATTCCTGTCCCCGTCCCCATTCCCATTCCCGTTCCCATTCCCATTCCCATCTCACCCCCATTCCCACCTCCATTCCCGTTCCCATTCCCATTATTTTCCTGTTCCCATTCCCATTCCCTTCTCATGCCCATTCCCACTCCCATTCCCGTTCCCATTCTCGTTCCTGTTCCCATGCCCATTCCTGTTCCCATTCCCATCCCCACGTTCCCATTCCCTTTCCCATCTCAGCCCCATTCCCACCTCCATTCCCATGTTCCCATTCCCGTTCCTGTTCCCATTCCCATTCCCGTTCCCATCCCCTTGTTCCCATTCTCGTCCCCGTCCCCATGTTCCCATTCCCATCCCCGTTCCCCTTCCCCATCCCCATCCCCATCCAGTCCCGCATTCCCGGGGCTCTCCCGCCCATCCCGGGGGTCGCGGGTGCCGCTCCCGCGCCCCAGACCCGACCCCAGACCCGCGCGAGCCGCGGCGCCCCCCGGCGGCGGGCGCGGGAACGGCGCCTCCCCGCGGGGCGGTCCCGGGGCGGTGCCGGGCGCTGCCCCCGCCCCGGGCCGGCGGTGCGGCGGTGCCGAGGGCGGGCGGGCGGTCCCGGGGCGGTGCCGGGCGCAGGCCCCGCCCCGCGGCGGTGGGCGGGCGGCGGTGCCGGGGCCGCGCGGTGCCGGTGCCGGTTGGCTGCGGGCGGTGACGGCGGGAGGCGGTGGCGAACATGGCGGCGGCGGCGGCCGAGGAGGCGGCGGCAGCGGCGGGGCGGCGCTGAGGAGGCCCGAGGCGGGCTGAGGAGTGGCGGGGCGGGCGGGCGGGGGCCCATGTGCGGTGGCGGCGGACCCCCCCCGCCCCCCACTACCGACGCCCGTTCGCAGCCAGGCGCCGCCGAGGCGGCTCTGCGGGCGCGGAGCGAGCGCGGCCCCGGCCCGCCGGAGGCGGCGGCGGCAGCGGCGGCAGGATGAAGTTCGCCGAGCACCTCGCGGCGCACATCACCCCCGAGTGGCGGAAGCAGTACATCCAGTATGAGGTACGGCCCCGGGCAGCGCTGCGGGCACCGGCCCCCGCGCCTCACGGTGCCCGCCGTGCCGCGGGGCGGTGCTGCTGATGGAGAGGCAGCGGGTGCGCGTCCGCCGCGGCGGGGAGGCTGCGGCTGAGGGGCAGCCCTGGCTGTCCGGCTCGCTAATTAGTGCATTAATTACCGCCCGTAACCTCTTGCCGGCGGACAGAGGTCGCGGCACACGCTCGGTACCGCCAGCCCCGGCGGGGGCTCAGCACCAGCGCCGGTTCCCGGAGGAGCGGTGACTTTGAGAGCTCCCGGCCTCACAAGGGCGATCCCGCTGTGCTGGGCAGCTCCCGGTGCCTTCCCTGCCCTGCCGGGGCCACCTGCACCGCGCTGGGATTCCCGAGACCCCCAAACCAGGGCTCAGAACCCCCGGAACAGGGCTCCAAACCCTCATCAGCTCCCCCGAGCCCCCCAAAACAGGCTCCAAACCCCCGTCAACCTCCCTGAGCACCCCAAACCAGGGCTCCAAACCCCCATCAGCTCCGGTTTTATGACAATTTTTAAGTAAGGCTCTGCAGCTCGCGGCTTCGCACTCCAGTCGGGGCGTTTATGAGCACTGTTTGCAGCAAGTTCTGCGGCACTAATCGTGAATTATCTGCAGAACACGGCTTTTTTTGGGCTTTATCGCGCCAGCCTGCTAAAGGTCACGCTGATTGCTTCGTTTCAGATTTATCACACCGATTCCGGGCTTGCTTGGAACTGGACAGAGCTGGGGGGTGGTAATTTGTAGTAGAACCATTTCCTATGTCAGTGTCAGCAGTAAAAGTGGCAGGTGCCAGCGATGTCTTTTCCACAAGTAATAATTAAATCTAGACAACGGAAAGCTGATTATAGGACAGCCGTGATCAGCAAAACTTCTTGACTGATTGACTCAGTTAAAACCACGCAACATTTGTTATTGTTTGAGGGACCTGTATTTTCTCCCTAGGACTATAACAGCAATTTATTTATGCTATCCATATTAATCTGTCTGCATTTGCAAGGAAAACCACATTTATCTTAGCTTGCTTTGTTATAATGTCGAGCTTGAGAAGTTTATATCTGCCCTTTTCACTCTTCCTTTGTTTCCCTTCACCTGCCTGCAGAGGAACTGATGTTTGAATAAAAACTGCACTTGGGTTTGGCTTTACAACAATATTGTGATCTCCTTGAATGATGTGGAGAGCTAGATGGCCAAATAATGCCATCAGTCTTTGAGGAGGAGGAAAACCATTGTCTTGATAAAATAAAGGGCCAGCTTAGTTCTGCATCGTGTCTCTAATGGGTTATCCCTGTGAGAGTTGTGTTCTGCTCCTGAAAAAAGAAAACTTGGATATCTTCCTAAGAGCAGCTTTGGAGGTGGGAAATAAAAGGGTGAAAGATCTGGCTGCATGCTGAGCAAACAGCTGTGGAGAGAGGGGAAGGAGACCCAGTGAACTACGACACCCTGATTAATGTGTGAAGAGCTCTGCTGCTCCTCGGCCACTGTTTTCATTATGGGAGGTTAATTTTCAGCTGTTTTAACTAGGGCACTATCATTATGTCATTCTCCCTTCCTCCAGCCCGGTTTAAAATGTATATTCCAGTCAAAACAACTTCCCCTCAAGTTGTTACTCTTTCTAATCACCAGTAATCTCCCCCTTGGACAGACAGCTTAATGTGGAGTGAGGGAGAACACAAACCTCACCTTCCCTTTCAGTAACAACTTTCAAACTCTTTGTTTGCCTTGTTGCAGCTGGCTGGATGTGAGTCAGCCTCCTGCTCATGCATATTACAGTGATGGAATAGCCTGGCATTTATTATTCAGTGACTGGTGGTCGTGTGGGTGCAGTGCATAAAAGCCCAGCACTGCCTCCATTTACTTGTTGATTATACCTGAGGCAAAAAGCACCCAGCCCTCCTTTGTCCAGAAAAAAATTCCCATTGTTGATCAGTAGGTGTGAGGTTAAACTTTGCCTGTGTTACTTGTGTGCAGTGCTGCCTATAGAAGGTGTCACAGTAACTTTTAAAGCATTATTTGTATGTTTTAATAGTGTTATATTGTTCCTTCACCTCACAGTTTATGCCTTTTTAATTAATGCAGGAAACACCCTCTCAGAGTGAGAGGTTTTTTGGGTAGGTTTTTAACTCTGGAAAGACTTTTCCTGTTTTTAGGATGTCAGGTTCAAGATCACAGAATTCTGGAATGGTTTGGGTTGGAAGGGTTAAAGATCATCTTGTCCCATCCCCTACCATGGGCAGGGACACCTTCCACTAATCCCAGGTGGCTCCAAGCCCCATCCAGCCTGGCCTTGGACACTCCCAGGGATGGGGCAGCCACAGCTCCTCTGGGCAACCTTTGCCGGGGCCTCCCCACCCTCAGGGAAGATTTTTTGCCCAATATCTGATCTACCCCTGCTCTCTTTCAATTTGAAGCTGTTCCCCATGAGAGGCATGAAAGATGATGCAGAAATTGCTTTCTCCAAGTCGTTGTGGATCATAAAGCTTACATCCCCTCATCTTAATTTCCTCCTCTGCTATTTGTAGTTATTTTCACTGGAGAGCAGGAGATTGCTGGAGTGTGGCAGGACCCAGGTAACCTGTGAGATCCTTTGAAGGGATTTGGAGCAAGCTTTGCCTTGTCAGACCACGTGTAATCTGTTGGTGATAACCTCAGAAAGGGGAATGGGATTGGTGTGTTTTCAATACCTAAAAATGTAGTTTCACTTTCAGGTGGTCTTGAACAATTTATAGTCCTCAAAACTTCTTACCATCCACATGCTCTTTCCCTCCAAAATAATCAGTTTAGGTATTCTAAGTGTGCTTGTAGAAGTATGGAAGTTGCCTGGACTTAGGGCTGGTAGGGTGAGAGCTTTAGGGAGAGAAAAAAACCATTCATTTTCTTTAAACAGGCAAAACTAAGATATATTTTGATAGGTGTGACTTAGATTTATATTTTCTTTCAGCAAAAGCTCTGCAGTGACCATTACTGTAGATTTGAGTTTCTTGAGAAGGAGCTTACAGAAAAGAAGGAAAATGGCAGTGAATGCTCTTCTGTTTCATTCAGCTTTTCCCAAAGACATTTACCATGACTGAGCCAACAGTAACGTGGAGCTTTAAACCATGGTGGACCTGATTTGGCTTTCCATTCCAAATTTCCATTCTAAAGATTGCATGAAATGATGTGGATGTGCCTCACCCTGGCAGCAGCAGTGAGAGGATTTGCTCACCTTGTTTGAGGGGCTCTGGCAGTGCATTTTCTTCTGTAAAGAAGAAATCTAAAATGTAAAAAACATTTTCCTAGCTGTTAAACTACAGCTGTGATATGCACTATTCAGTGTTCATTTTGCATTAAAAGTTTTGGGCCACTCATTTACCCTTCAGTTCCTTTGGAAAAATAAGAAAACTGGAAAAATGGAAAACAAACACAATCCCAACTTTTTGTGTCAGAATTGTGGAATTCTCATTTCCATACAGTACTGAACAAATTCAGGTAACTTGCATGAATTTCAGCTGATGCTTTTTTTCTTTTTTGGTTGAGAGTGTGCTCTGCTGCGTATAATGCTCATTTTTGATGCAGGGAAATATTGGGGTTGTGAGTCCTCTGTTTATCCACAAACCCTCCTGGATTCCTTTGTTTTCATGTCCCTCTCTGGATTGCTTTCAGCAGGAGAGCATTGCTCAGGCTTCTAAATGTAAATGTGGATCTGCACATCCAGCTGATGGAACTGTACAAGTCGCTTGCACAGTTGCCAGATGGCTGTTTGGTTGCACTTAATCTGGCCTGAATTTGTTTCTCTGCAGGAGCCTGATGGTATTTTTATAGAAAAAGTACATCATACCTTTGACATCTCCACAACTGGGGAGGGAGGAGGAGCAGAACAGTTATTACAGGTGCAAAGTTCATGGGAGAGGTGGGTAAAGGTGTGAGCAGGTGACCTCCCTTCCCTTTTTTAAAGGTTTTAAAGTCCTTAAAACCCCCAGGTTTTAAGTCCTTCTGCTGTTGCAGGAGAGGAACAGGTTGCTGAGTTTTAGGCATCGTTTCTCGCAGACACCACCTGCAGCAGGAAGTGGGTGGGGGCAGAGGAGAGCTGAGGTTGCCTGCTTGCCTTCAGTGTCTCCTGCAGAAACAGGCTTTCAGCTTTTGGGAGGTGGCCAATTCTGCTGTCAAACCCAGCTCCATGATAGGCAGTTCACACCCAGGCTTGCCACCTCCTGACACAAATCTGTTGTGCTATTTCACTATTTGTCCTTCGGGCTGTTAGCAGAGGAGCTTAGAGGAGCTTAAGTGGTTTGAAAGACTCCTTTAAAAGAATGGTTTGGTTTTTTTTTTTGAGTGTTTTAAGGTTTTTGTCCTTAATTTTGTTCACTGCTAAGGTCTGAGAGTTGCATTTTCGTTTTCTTTTTGCCTTTTTTTTTTTGTTCTCTCATATGTATTTCCACAAGTTGACTGATGGTGCAAGGTGTAGCACTGGCACAGTCTAAAACAGGGAAATAACCCATTTTGATTAGTTTGAGGGCAGAAAGAGTAATTCTTAAGTGTTTCACATTGACAGTGATGGATCACTTTAGTAAACAATCAGTTCTAAAATTCTGTAATCTAGAGGGCTAAATAGTTTAGGTGTGAAGGAGCACTGAGTCTTTCACTTTGAGGTTATTGGTTTACTTATATAGGTCAGGAAAGCAGTAACAAAATCTGCTGCCCTGCAGCTGCCAGATTGTACTATGTCAGTGTGCATGGGGAGGGGTCTGTGGGACGACTGACACCTTCAGCCTTCAGGATTGTTTAGTGCAGGACTGTCAATGTTGTCCTTTTGCATTTGTTGTTTTTGAAAAATGACTGATAAAACCAGAGATAGGAATTACACTGGGCTTACCCCTGGGTGGGTTAAGAGATGAGTTGTTGCCACAGTGACTTTCAATGTGCTGTCTCTTCTGGTTTGTTTATCCCGTGTCACATGTTGGTTGTGGTTCATGGAAAAAGTTACAGGTAGGTGAGGATGACGACTGGGATGGAGAAGGAGGAAGACTTTTTGACTGCTTGGTGTGCAGAGATCATGTGCTGCTGAGCAGTGAGTCATGGGGGGAGAGGACTGAAGTGGCCAGTGCTCCTGAGGAATTTTAGAAAAGCACCAGGAGCAGAGCTGTGCTGCTGGCATGAGGATCACCCAGCAGTGGCTCAGTTGGGAAAACAATTATGCAAGTGACCTTTGCTGAGACCTCTGACTCAGGAGCCAGACCTCTGAGAGATGCCAGAGCTGCTGGTGCAGGCAGCCACCTTGGGTATCTTGTGATAAACACACTTGTCCTTTAGACCTTGTGTTTACCCAGTGTGTTACAACAGCACTCCGCTCCCAGCTGCTGAGCTGATGGTTTTTACCTCCAGGGGTTTTTGGGGGATTTGTTACTTAACCTGGGAGGTTTTCTCCTGGGCCACTGTGACACACACCTCTGTTTCTGCTGTCTTTCAGGATTATGGAAGTATGGGATACATTGAGAATCAGGCAGAATAGATAGGAACTAAGAAGACCTGAATTCCTTTTTTTGTGTTAGATTTCTGTGGGCTCAAGAATGAGGGAACAAGGTCAGGTTTTTGTGGTGGTGGAGGAGGGTACTCACGTTCAGTATGGGCATTAAGATGTGAGGTGTGTATAAGCAAATCACTGTGCAGCAGGAATGGGTCCTTCCCTGTGGCTTTCAGTTCCAAAATGATGGCTCAGGTTATTCATAAAGACCTAGAATGTTTTGGGCTGGGAGGGACATTTAAGATCATCTCATTCCCATTCCCTGCCATGGGCAGGGACACTTTATACTATCCCAGGCTGCTCCAAGTCTGTCCAACCTGGCCTTGGATACTTCCAGGGATGGGGCAGCCACAGCTTCTTTGGACAACCTGTGCCAGGCCCTCACCTACCACACAGTAAAGATTTTTTCCCTATTATTTTACTCCAACCTGCTCTCTGTGAGTTTGAATCCATTCCCTCTTGTCCTGTCATTCCTGGCCATTGTCCCAAGTCCTTCCCCAGTTCTCTTGAAGCCCCTTTAGGCACTGGAAGGGGCTCTAAAGTCTGCCTGGAGCCTTCTCCAGCTGAACACCCCCAGCTCTCCCAGCCTGTCTCCATGGCAGAGGGGCTCTCACCCTCTGATCCTCACTGTGACCCTCCCCTGAACTCCCCTCACTCCTTCAGTCCTTGATCAGAATTCAGTTCATGTGGATGTGAGTGAGCAAACCTTTAACCTGTGCCTGGGGTAATACCAGCACCTCAACAACTGCAAGGCAGCTCGTGGTGCCTCCAGCACCTGAAACCTGATTGCTTAATTAATTCTGGCTGGTGCTAATGTTGCCCTTCAGTTCCCACCTCTAGAGCAGGCCATCACCCTTGCTTCCGTAATCTCCTTCATCATGTTGCCTTCAGCTTTCAGCATGTATGTGTATTTTTGTGATCCTCTGTAACAGTGATGAGAAATCCCTGAGGCTGCTTCTCCTCCATTTGCCTTGACAAACTCCTCTGTGTCACGCAACACTTCAGGTTTTGTTGTTATTTCCTCATTTTTTTTAATGTAAAGCCTTTACATCCTACCAACTGGGAAGCATTTTTCTGAAGGAAGATGTTGAAATGTACAGTTGGAATAAATTTTATAGATGATTAAGATAACAGGCTGGAGATAAAGCAGTCAGTAAACATGAACCTGTTTCACTTGTGAACAGAAATGTGTGTGATAGCCTTGACATCACGTACCACAGCTTTCTGTGCCAGTCTGCAGGATAAAAGGGCTTTAATTGCTTTTGTTTTCAAACAGGCATATCAAAACAGTGTAATTTTTTTTTCCTCTTTTCATACTAACTGTGTTCCTTGTTCTCTGCCCCTCCCTTGCAGGCTTTGAAAGAGATGCTATATGCAGCTGTGGACCAGGCCCCTTCTATAGAAGGTAAGCAAATTGTAACCCACAGTTGTGTTTTTCTTGGCACTGCGTGCTGGACACGTAGTCCTGCTACTTTTCTGTCCTTAGTCCTCCTAAATTGGTAAACTTAATATCCTGATGGGCAAATGCCTGGCCTTCCACAGCCTGCATGCTATATTTGATTGTTAGAACTCTTTGTCCTCTTTTGTTGGGACAATAAATGTCTTTGTATAGTTTGAGACAGCAACAGCTGGATTCCTCTTGCTTATAAGGTCATTCAGTGGTGGAAGTGTTTTCTTCATTGCCTGAGAATAGAGCTTTGTTTTGCTGTGAGAGCCTGCCACTCTGGGAGATAGCTGTGCTGGAGAGACACTGGCTCCTGGTTTGGTACTGGTGATTTGAGCTGCAGGAGTCTCATCCTTTTGTTCTGTGTCCTCCCTGAACGCTCTGCTGCCTCTCCCATGTGCACATGAGTATATCTTCTTCTTTGCATGTGTTTATTGCCTTCTGACTGCTCTAGATTATTCTAGTAAGGTGTTTGGTTTTAAGCTCACTGAATTTTAAATTGTTTGTTTAATTAAGTGATGATCTCTGCAAAATTTCTTAATAGAGCTTTTTACTTTCTGTATCTTCCTTTTGTCATCTTTAAAGTACTCAAGCCTCTGTGTTGCTTCACTCCTTACTTTCTTGCCCATCATGTCGATTTCTGGCTGCTTTATAACCTCCTTACCTTTATTATTTATTATTATAACCTCCTTAACTTTATTATTTTCACTTTTATTGCAGAGTTAATTTTACTAATTTCTGAACATGGCTCTCTGGGTTTCTTGTTTATTTCTTGTATATTTTTCTTGTATATTTGTAGAGCAGGAGAACAAGTGCTGCTCCTGGTGTAGTCAGTTGTCTAACATCAGCAATGCTGGTCACTCCTAAATGTTAGGCCATTAATTACTTTCCTTTTGTTGATTAGAACTGGGAAATGAGGTATGATGTAGTTAATATAATGTGATTTTTTTTAAAAATTCAACTCAACTCCACTTGGTTTTTTATTAGAATTTTAAAGCCAGAGCTGCAATAATTAATAGCTGAAGAGAGTGTGTGTAGGATGGGGCAGTCTGCCCTTAAACTCTTCAGAGGTGCATTCCAAGCTGAAGACTTTGTGGAAGCAATGCTCAGGCAGGTGTAAATTTTAAATTTAACCTGACACTTAGTAGCTCACTCAACTCATCGTGCTGGTTTTGTTAAAAGAATCCCACTTTTCTCTAAATACAGGTCCTAGAATGATGTTTCTAAAGGTTATGGTCCTAGAATCCAAAATCTGTGGGTTATCTTTGGAAAACTCAACATACAGTGGCAAAGAGGAAAGTCTTGCTTTATTTTTTTAATGTAGCAAAATTTCATAAAATCTACCCACAAACCTCTCTCCTCAAGAGCATAAGACTATGAGGAACTGAAGTTTTCTGTGTAGGCCTAACTGACTGTAATAACTTTTAAAGACAAGTTACTAATGTTATTGAAAATCCAGCAATATTTTTATGGGGGACTGGAACAATTATAAGACTTTTTTTCTTCCTCTCGTCTGTCCATTGGTTTATTATTGACAGTGTGAGCACATGGTGTCTGTGCTGATGGAACTTTGTAGACTGATGTTGGAATGTGACTTCCTGGGCTTGGCCAGGGTTATCTGGGATTTCAAGGTGGTCTTGAATTGTAAAGTGTTATAATTCAGCATTTTGATTTCTCTGTTTTCAGTGCTTGTGCTACAGTGGTGTTCTGTAATGTGCTGTGATGTTTGTTTGGCAAAGCAAGAGGAGGGGAAGAATAAAATGATATATTTATGCTCTCTTAAATACTGTTAGAGTTTTGACCTGTGCTTCTGCCTCCTCTGATGCTGTAAAAACCTCAACAAAAGGAAAGCAATGACTTAAGAGAGTTTCCATCAGTAGAACAGTGTTCTGTTCATTTTTGGAGGGGTTGGGTGTTTTCCTCTGTACTATAGAGAATATAACCCAAACAGTTTTGAGCCACTCCTATTTAAATCTGTCTGTCTGACCTGCCCTTAAGTGCAGAGCAGTTCCACTAATTCCTTCGCCTTTCATGCTGGAAATAAATCAACACCATTTTTCCATCCCTGTTGCTTGCATCCCCCTCTTTTTTAAGCCCTTCTGCCTTTGTTCATAGAAACTTTAGGCCAGGTTTAGTACTTGACTGCACACAAACCATGCTCAGAACACTGCTCTGGTCCCTGTCACAGGATTTGGAGCAAGTTCTTGTATTTTGGGAGGGAATGGAGCAGCTATTGTCAGGGGCTGGCTGTTGGCCTGCATGTTTCCAGTTGAATATGGATTTTGCAATGGATACTTGTGTGTTGTTTTGAGCTCAGCACAGACACTACAGGGCTGTGCTACTGAAACCCAGCCTCCCAGTATGAGCCTGATGTAATCTCATTTTAGACTGGTCTAACTAAAATCCATTTGCTAATTGATCTTGTTGATCACAGACACGCTGCAGAGCTCCAGAGCTGGCTTTGATTTACCTTGCATGAATTGTAAGCTAATCTTTGGATAATATACTGGATTGTGAAGACAAGGGAGTTTTGTACAGCAAAGCTGAGGCTGTTCCTGGTTCTTATTCTGCTTGGCTGGATGTGTGATCTGGCATTTGTGAATGAATTTCTTAGATTTCTGCTGCAGGCTGCTTACTATGTCAGTCAGTGAAATTTGTGTATAGGCAGAAATGCTTCCTGTTCCCTTAGTAGAATGCTGAAAGCACTTCGGAAATTCTTTAAAATAACCAAAAAAAGTGCTACTCATGCAAGGCATGTTGTAAATAATGGGCAAGGCAGGTAATAGGGGAGCCATCCATCATGAACAGCTTTCTGTGGGTTTGTATTTAGGCATTTTCTCTGTGTGGATGGGTAAACAAAGCTAACTTCAGAATGACTCCTAAAGTTTTGCAAGGGATAGTTGCTTGTGCTGCTTTAGTGGACAAAGTGCTGCTGGGAAGAGGGTCTTGGCTCTAAGTTCTGCAGGTTATTCTGTGATTATTTATTATGGTGACCCTTCTCCCTGTGCTAGATTGAATCACACCTATGTCTACCTGCTTTTTCCTATTTTTGGGTAATAAATGGACTGTGATTTTAACAAAAACCCTTCTAGAGGTGGATAAGCAAAACCTGTCAAGGCTTTATGGTAGGAGGAGATTGTTTGTAGCTGTCCCCACACACAATTCCAAGGTGGTGTGGCTCCCTGTGTTTCATGAGAGTTACTCCAGACTGTAGCATGTCTTTTCTGGCAGTTCCTGGCTGTACACATAGATTTCTTTAATCTGTTCAAAGATACATTTTTTTTCATCCATCTGTCTCCTTTGTAATGACAGTTTCTTTATGCCAGTGTTATTCCTCCAGATGCTCCTCATCTTTTCACAAGGCAATCCCCTGATGAAACCTGCACCATCCCTCCACCTGAGCAACATCTGTACTAAATTAGTGCTCAGTCTGTTAATTCAAACCCTGCACATCACTGGGAGAGGTATCAAATGCTGCTGGATTCCCAGCTGTACCATGAGCCTTGCTTGGCTTTCTGGAGAGTTCTTTGGAGCGTGTTTGCTTCCTTAGCTGTTTGTTGCCTTCTGCTCACTGTTACCAGAACAAGGGAGATGAGTGGATGCTGCTCCCAGGATATCATTCCCAGCTCCTTGTAGCACAGCAGGAAGGCCTGAATGCAAGTGTGCCAAACCAGGCATCCTTTTGTGACCCTAAGGCACCTTTAGCAAGAATCTGTGATTATTTAGAGGCTAAACCCAAGCACAGCTCTGCTTTCCTCTGAGGCAGAATTGCGGTACGGCAAAAACATGAAATTCTGACCTCACTGGGAGCATGCTGGGGTGGTTTTTTTTGTTGATTCCTTGTCCTCCCACTGCTTCCTGTTCCATTTGTCACCTAAGTAAAGCAGGTTAGTGGACCATTGTTGCTGGGAGTGCTGCTGATTATTCCACTTGGTGAGCAGCTGTGTCGGCATCTCCCCGAGCTCCTCACGGTGCTGCCGTGGCCACCAAAGTGCAGCTGTAAATTATTCATCCCCATTTTCTGCTCCAATGGACAAGGGCCACTCTGAATATTATTTCCTCGAATATTTGCCTTTCAGATATTTAAATTTATCCTCTCTTTAATACTTGTGTAAACAAATATCGTTGGTGTAATATCAGATGGTACAGGAGCGTCCTGTTGTGTCCTCCCATTATGGGAACTATTTAACCCCAATCCTGAATTCCAGTGGCACCTTTCAAAGAAGGATCACACTGATTCTGTGGGGATGGAATGGTGTATCAGGGTAGGAGTGGGGAGTACACGTGCCCTAGGGTAGAATTCAAATCCAAAAGTAAGAGGTGGTGCTAAAGCAACAGGAATTGGTAGGGGAAAAGCTTTAGTGGTGACAGATATCCTCTGCTGGTGCTGTAACATTTGTGGTCTCCTCTTTGCTCCTGATGGATTAGGAAAGCAAGAGGTGCAAGTTCGGGACATTCTGAGAGTGCCAGCACTGGCAGCATGTCTCATGTTATCCCCACCCTTGCTTCTGCTTTCATTTGTAAAGCACTTGCTCTGTTGACTGACAGCTACAGATCTTTAGCTTGGATTTATTTCTGTTACTGAATAGACAAAAGAGTGTTCTTTAGGGGCATAAATAATCTTGGTGAATAAGTAGGGTGTAGGACATCACATTCTTTTTCTTTCCAGAGGAAGTTATGAGCCTGACAGTTTTTGTTACATGCAGACATGCTTTGTAGGGTTGATCAAAGGCTTATGATTTGTCTGTATATATGCAGATGCCTTCTTTTTATTTCCAAATAAACATTTATTTCCAATTGCACAAGCTTACTTTGTAGAGGCTTGAGGCTTTGTTTACATGGGAAATGCTTAAGGCTTTAAAAGAGTCTTCAGCAGAAGTGCTGCACATCAGAAGCAGTCACAAAGAGATTCATGCTTTGTCTTTATTTCAGCAGGTTGTCACACACCCATGAGGACACAG